TATATATATATATATATATATATATATATATATATATATATATGAAGGGATTAGCCTACAAGCTGATATGAACATATGAGCTAACGGCCCAAATTGAATCTGGGTTGATCTGACGATCGCGGATGTCTGGTAATACTTGAATCTTCTTCTTTTTTTCTACAGATCCAAATCACTTGAAATTTTAAGTGTGTGTCCTTCTCATCAAGACACACCTAATAAAAATATAACAAAACTTATTTGTAAAAAAAAAATGATCAAAATATCTCTTGAAACATTTCGGGGGTATTTTGGTCAATTTATTTAATGTAACATATTTTTTTGATATTTTTCAAAGATTCGCCTATTTTTTATGAACACACGCCTAAAATTTTTAATGATTTGGATTTGTAGAAAAAAAACTAAAATTCAAACACTATCGAAAATCCGTGATCGTCAGATTGGCCCAGAATCAATCTAGAACATTGGGCTCTTATGTTCATATGAGCTAGTGGGCTAATCCCATCTTTTCCCATGTATATGTTACAATAAAGATAATCTTTTTTTTTTCTTTGTTGCCACTTGAGAAAGACAATCCTATTTACGGTTTTTATTATGTACTGGGTTGGGTTGTTAATTTAATTTTAGAATCCAAGTTATTTTTTTCCTCATTTGAGTCTAACCGGGTGATCCTCTTCTTTTTCCAAAATTTCCACTCAAATTCTAAGTAAAAATTGGAAGCTCGTCTATGGAAAATATAATCTTATAGCAAGAAATGGAGACATAAAATAATTAGACAAACAAGTTAAAAAAAATTCACCCATAAAAATAGTAATGATTTGATAAGACCCTCCCACACTCATGTGTGGAAGATTTAAAAGGATCACCATTAAATTTGACATAAATCTCTAGAAAAGTCAAGTCTCATGCCTGTGATAACTTTACAAGATACGTGTGTTAAATTTAATGATGATCATTTAGGATCCTGTAGACATAAATGTGAGAGCGTGTTTTAGGATCATTATTAAAAAAATCCTTTCTTTAATGAAAAATTTTAAATAAATTTATTTTAGTAATAATGTAGGGACGACAAGCCTCTACCGGCCACAGCTTTGTAAAAACACCCTAACGATTAGTCAAATTGGAGGGGCCATGATCCCCACCAATCCACCCAGAAAAGGTCAAAGACAAAAAGAAAAAAGCACCCAGGAAAATATCTGTAAGTTGAATTCCTTTGTTGAAGTGGAATTCGATGTCTTTTTTTTTGACCAATTAAGTGGAATTCCATTATTAAGTCCCTTGTGAGACCTCTGCAAATTCCATAGGATAGGAATTGGAACTTATTGTATCATCAACAATGGAGACCACGGACCAACCTTTCAAAGAATACCCTCCCTTCGTCCGCATCCACAACGATGGCACCGTCGAGCGCCACACAGGCACCCAAACCCTGCCGCCGTCTCCCCTCTCCGACGCTGGAGTGTCCTCCAAAGACGTCGTCATCTCTCCCAATGTCTCCGCCCGTCTCTACATCCCTCACTCCGCCCTCTCCTCCACCAAAAAACTCCCCACCCTTGTCTACTTCCATGGAGGAGGTTTCATCATAGAGTCCCCCTTCTCGCCTCACTACCATCCTTACCAGGATGCCCTCGCGGCAAAGGCAGGCCCGAGCACCAGCTCCCAACTGCCTACGACGACTCATGGGAATCTATCAAGTGGACCGTTGGTCTATCCGACGAGTGGCTGAGGGATCACGCCGACCTCGACCGCTTGTTCTTAGCTGGGGACAGCTCCGACGGCAATATTGTGCATCAGATGGCGATGAGGGCAGGTGAGACCGCATCATCAGAGGTAAGATTGCGCGGGGTAGTATTAGTCCATCCATTTTTCTGGGGACCAAATTTGAGTGATACAGAGAACGAACAGAGCGGGTTTGTGGAGAAGTTGTGGAAGCTGTTTAGCCCAGATGTTGGTGCTATGCAGAGTCACTGGGTCAATTGGGAGGCAGAGGGGGCGACGCCGTTGACGAAGCTCGGTTGTCGAAGGGTGATGGTGTGCGTTGCAGAGCTGGATTTTATAAAGAAGAAGGGAAGGGAGTATTATGAGGCATTAAAGGAGAACGGGTGGGAGGGGAAGGTGGAGCTTGTGGAGACTGAAGGGGAGAATCAAGTGTTTCATTTGTTTAAGCCGGACTGTGAGAAAGCCAGGGTGTTCATGGAGCAGGTCGTCTCGTTCCTTAATCAGGTCTAGTTGTGAGCCATCTTGCTCTCTCTCTCTCTACTGGGTTTCTTTCTTTTCAAGTTTGCCTACTGCCTCTGTTTCTCTCTCTAAATAAGATATCTACTGAGTTTGTTTCTTTTTCTCTCTCTTCTGTAAATTATACCATTTGACGCAGTGAAGAGAGGCACCCCTCTGGCCCACTATGATTTTCTGGATACACTTTCCATTCCCAGATGTCTGATTCATTTGAAAAAGTAATGCATCCATCATCTATTGGTGATGAATCGCGTTCATTTTCAGTCATCTTCAGTTCCTACTGCAATTATAAATGGCGAGACAAAAAATGTCCTCTCAGATAAAACCGCGACACCTTTGTCTTTTCGGAAAGCCCTTTCCTGGGCCATTGGCGAGTTTGTTTCCAGGAAGATCATTTCATCACCTTGGAAATCTTTTTCGTAGCTCGGTTGGTATGAATGATTTCTTAAAAAAAAACAAAATACATTCGGTTTGTGGGGAAGTCAGCGAACACGCTTTCTGAAGGTCTACGATTTTTCATGAAATAAATATAGTATGGCAATTAAGCAATGTTTTGAGCCTCGGCCAAAACTTGGCCTCCTCCTAAGGGCAAGGCGAGTCCGGCCGAGTAAGTTTACGTCAAATTTTTGTAGTTTATATGAAAGGGAAATGCCTCGTGAGACCTTCACACACGTATGGGTGTAGGACTTCAAAAGATCACTATTAAATTTGAGACAGATCTCAAGAAAAATTATCACATGCTAAATTTAATAACGATCTTTTGAGATCTTACACATAGATGTGGGAGGGTCTCATAGGATCATTACTATTATATAAATCATTGCGTAGGTTTCAAGTTAAATGTTAGACCAATGCTTTTTGGATAATGATCACACACATTGCACGTCACAGCTCGAATTTGAATCCCGACTTAATGTGGCCTCATTATCATCATCTTTTTTTAAAGTGTTAATGTAAACTGGGTGTGGTTTCTATAAGGTTGCAACATTAAACAATCCAATTAAGGTTCACTTTCAAATTTTATCATAACATATAATTTTATTGTAAAAAACTGTTAGGATTATCTTAAAATCTATTTTCATATCTAATTAGAAAATTTTAAGCTCTAAAAATGGTTAAAATCAATGAGATCTATAAACATATGAAAATCTTGAATACGGACGGTCTAGATAATGTGTTGCAAGATGCACTATTTCTGAGACTAAAAAGCTTTTTTTTCATATATATTCATGCATCTTAATGTTGAGATGATCAAATACAGGGTTTTCCAACATTAAAACAACCTTTCTGATAGATTTTTTTAGATACATTTGTAATTCTACATTTTAAGGATGCAACCTTACATAAACTTTTCCCATCTAAAAAAGGGGCAGGTTATATTACATGTATTTGACCTTTTTTTGTTTTTTGTTTTAAAATTTGGATTGAACTCGCCTCGGTCAAGGTCTGAGTACCTTGGCTTGGTCAAGGTCTGAGTACCTTTGCTAAGTCGTATTCCAAAACACTGCAAATAAGTTATTTGACATGAAAAAACTCTCAAAAAATTCTTCCCAAAGAAATTTTTTCATACCAAAGTTATTATGAATTAATTTCTCAACGGAATAAGTTTTGAGTATACCTCAAGTGTGGGTTGAAGTCATTTTTTACTCTCTTAGGGCTAGAGCTATGTTGAGTAGGTTACCATTCAAAATTTGGGGGTCTAAAAAGTGCATGTAGCTTGATTGTTGCCCCAAGTTCACCCTGGCCATGGAAAATTTGCGCCTGAGCCACAAATTGTTAGTCAAACGCCAAGCCGCTTCTCCCTAACTCTTACAAGTTGTTCCGCAATTAAAACAGGGGTAATTATATAAGAGTGCGGTTTGTATAGAGCTGGAAACAATCAAAGTAAAGCATACCTTCAACTAATGTTGAGAAATTTGATTTTAATAAGGGAAACTATATTTTTATCCATAATTATAAAATCTAAAGCTTCAAAAATAGTGTAATTCAAACAAATCTATAAAAACTTGAAAACCATGAAAATTGATGGTTTAAAAATGCATTACAAAATATATTATTTGAAAAATGAAATCAATTTTTTTTTCTCATGTTCATGTTTCTTGATGCCGAGATGATCAAGTTGAGGATGTTTGAGCATCAAAACAACCTCTTCCAATGAAATTTTTGAGGTGGGCTAAAATTTGATTGTTTAGAGAGCGTCGGCTCTAAATAAACTTTTTCTATTATATAATGAGACCAAAACTTTTAATCTCACATTGCACTAAGGGGATGAGTAAGGCTACATAAATAAGAACGACTAGAACAAGAGAGCATCCTTTTACTTGATCAATATATAACTATAAATTTAAAATATATATTTAATACAATACAATAGAATTTTTTTATATAACACACACAAACACATTAACCTTCTCTCACCTTCTTTGGTCCACGTAAAAAGATGGAGATACTCTATACAAACTTCACTTCCCACTCTTAATTGTAAACGTGGGACAAAAACGAACTTTATCCCTCTAACATACTAAGAATAGCTTCTAAAAAATCATACTCATTACTTATCTATACTATATTATATATGATATAGATGAGAGATTTTAGAATAGGTGTAAGAGATGTACGTGAGAGATTTTCGGATAGGTGTGTGAGAGAGATAGGTGAGGGATAAAGATAGACATGCAAGAGGGAGGGAGAGGAGAACGTGTCCAGGATAGATTTTGGAGGAGAGAGGTACAGCATAGAAGTTTTATCGTTGCTCTTATCCAACCGTTCATTTTGAATGGAAGGTTAAGATTGCTTCAATCATAGTGTCACATCTCTAAATTATTTTATTTTTAATTTTTTTCTATAAACTATTTTGACACCAAATTTTATATGTCTATTCTTCTATTAAACTCACACTAGCAAAAAATATAAAAAACATATTTTCAATAAAATAAAATAACCAAAATACCCTTGAAAGTTTCAAGGGGTATTTTGATCATTATATTTTATTTTTTATAAGTGCGCCACAATGAAAAGATGGCACATACCAAATTTTATATTCATACAATTGGTATAAAAAAACTAAAAATAAAATACTGTGAGACGTCAGATCTAAAATCAAACGGTGAGTGACTCTCTTGATCAAAATTAGACAGCTGGATGGTAGGGAGAGGATAGAACTTCTATGCTATAGGGCAAGCATAGAAACCTTTCCGGATGGAGATATAGTGGAGAGATCCTAGAATAGGATGAAGTTTTTATAAGGCCTAGAAAATAAAATAAAGCTTCACCTCAAATCTTAATATGAAACGCACTTCCGGCAATAGGAATCTTCAAGATGGCTCTAAAATCAATTTCTAACACCGACAATAAATTTTGAAACTAAAAAAATATTATAAACCTTGCGGATCTATGGATACTTATTTTTAGGAAAAGATGGACGGTCTATACACCATTTTTACAGTTTAAAATTCTATGTTTTTTTTTATAATCATATATAATATTCAGGGCGAGATGATTGATATAAAGGTTTTTCAATGTTTGAATTACAATTTTCGATTAGCTATGAGATGAGGGTTTACTTATGTGATAGGCTACAGCGATATTTTCCTTTAGAATAAATGTGAGAGACACGTGTAAAAAAGAGAGACATGAGGGAGAGAGGAGATGAAAAGATGCGTAGGAAAAGATATGTAGGATAAAGGAAGGAAAAAGTTTGCATATGGCAACGTATAACGTATAACTACAGTTGCAGCTTAAAAATCTATCGGAAAAGGTTGTTTTAAGGTTGAAAAACACTTTGATTGATCATCTTGACATCGAGATGTATGATCATGAAAAATAAAAAGATTTTAAGTCGAAAAAATAGTACATTTTACAACATATTACCTGCATCATTCATTTTCAAGATTTTCATATGCTTATAGATCTACTTGATTTAAACCATTTTTAAAATTAAAAATTTTATAATTAGATATAAAAATAGATTTTGAAATAATCCCAAAAACATCTTACAACAAAATTATATAGCATGATAGAATTTGAAGGTGCACCTCACCTCTACAGCAACGGATGCATCCATATGTCAACTGCACGCTTTTAGGAAAGTTCAGAGATAATGCCGAAGGAAAATAAGGGAGGAAAATCTTAAAATAATTAATAAAAAAGAAAGAGTAAAAATTGGATAAAAGTGAAATTTTTTTGATAAAATATATAATGAGAATGTTTACCTTTGGTATATCTGGCCATAATTAATTGTGACTATTAGAGGACAAAACTCATAACACAAAAAAAAACGCATACACGCTATTAGATTTGACATCAAAAAGTTACAAGTAATTGTGGTGACCTTTTTGTAGAGCCTAGGCTCAACAATCAAATTAGAGCCTACCTCAAAACTTTTACTAGGCGGGGGTTGTTTTG